ATCTTATTTCCAATTTTCCCGACGCGAAGGCGATTTCACAAGTGATTGCCCCAGTTCACTTTCCAATACAAAGTCATTGGGGTCTTGCATATGCCGAYTTGAATGCACAGTAAATATATTTTGATGATGGCATGAAAATGACTCTTCCAAATACTGCTCTAATATGTTTGAATGATGGATTTCGTCTTGGCAAAACTCTACCCAATGTCAAAATTCCAGTCATTTACCTTGCCCTAACGTAGCATTGATATGTCACGTTTTGGAATGCCTACACAAATGACAGCATTTCCCAGTTTTATTGGTACCGGCAGCTATGGAGTCGGAGTTGTTATGGCAGCACTAGATTTTATTCAAAAAGGTCCATCAGCAGCAAGTAATTTTCAATGGACTTACCAGCAGATGGATTTCCATCGAGCACGGTTGATGATCCAGATATGTCAATGGAAAAAACAGAACTCAAATTAAAATACCATATTTTTTGAGAATTTTTTATTAATATATATTACGAAAATACACGAAATACATTTCAAGACTTATTAGTAGCTATACACTAGAAGAACCTAAATACACATAGTCGTTTATGTTAATTTTTTTATCAGACAATTTTTGGAATTATTAGTTATGAGCTAAGCTCTCCTTTCAAGAATATCCTAATAATGATGTGGCGTTGCATGAAAGCCAGATACACATTTCAAGTTCTCATTTACAGGTATGTGCTGATTTTATCATGTCGTATATCATTAGTTGCTTTATGTTGATATTGATGTATATGATGAATCGGAATTATGACTATTTTTAATATATGTATATTTATGAATGCAATAGTCATTATTCCAATAAAGTTGGCGGTTGAATTTTTAACATTGGTAGTAATAACCACACTATCATGCATTATACAAACAGYGCTCAGTTCTGCTTTTTGCGAATATTTTCGGTTGGACTAGAGTTATAATATGTTTCTATCGGAGTAATTAAAAATTTAAAATTGAATAACGCCAATTCTCAGTTCTGTGAAACAYTGAGACAAACCAACTGAACTGAGTTAAGGGAATGACTAAAATTGATGTACAACTTTACCAATGTAGAGTCTGATTGTTAGTTTGCCAAAATCKTTTGAGTTTTCATAGATTGTTGGCCACCAGATTAGTTCCAGTTCCCTTGATGGTTTGTTGTCCTCAATGATGATTTCTGTGCTACATGTCTGTTGGGGACTTTTACCTCTTTTCATGTCAAAGGCTATGACATCARATATATTATCTAAGTCTGTGGGCAAGTCTTCTCCGTTGATCTCTTCCAGACCACTCAACTTGGCTGATTTCTTCAAACAATAGCCTTCAACACTGAATGGTTTCCACAGGTCATCTTCAGAAAAAACTTTTAAAGGACATTTTAGTTGTTGTTGTTTTCATCATTGGTGCTCTCAAATGTGTGGTTGCTTTGATAGAATTTATTTCCATGTCCACCATGCTACTCAGGATATGCTCTTAAAACTCCTTTGGGACGTGAGGGATGTCAATTCTATGCCACTGACCTAAGTGAAACGTAAACGTGAGTAGTATGGTAGTAGTATSGAATTTCGAATTTGAAATACACTGTTTACTATGGATATGAAAACGCACACGTGAACGCRAAAATTTCCGTCTTCGTTTTCGTCGAGCCCAAAAAGATGGTAGGTTAACCATGTTGATATAACACGTTTTCTACACTATTGTGCGTTAGTGATAATAGTACCAGTTAGGCATTATTCTAGAATACAATACAATACAATATTTTTTTTACAATACAATATTTTTTATTTTGTGTCTTAAGTACAAAGATGATTACAAAATTTAAAATTAAAACTAGTTTACGACACATGCTAATTGTAACAGGTAGACTGATTAAAAACAATTAGCAACTATGTTAAAGTACAATGTAAGGTCAGGTATGATTGAAGAGAATACAATAACTACAACACAAAAAGAAAACACAGAAAAACGAGAAAATAAATGAGTTCAATAGTCTTTTAAAGTAGTAAGAATTGTTGATTCAAAGAAAAGCAACTAAGAAGCATTTTGATAAGAATTCAGAATCTGTGCAAACATTGCCTTCTTAAATTTAGATTTTGTAAACTCCCTTAAGTTTTTACTTAAAGAGTTCCATACTTTGATTGCAGAAAACCTTATGTTAAATTTCCCGTAATTAGTCCTTGCATATGGAAGGGAATAGCTAGTTTTACTAGATGCCAGTCTTGTGTTGTAGTTATGGCGAGAACTAACTAGAGAAAAATATGAATTAAAAGTATCAGGGAGATTGCCATGGTGGAAGTCATGCATGAAGATTGCAGTTTGAAATCTAATTATATCATTGAATTTCAAGATGTTCAATTGAATAAATAGAGGATTCGAGTGATCAGTAAAGTCTGCGAAGGAAATTATACGGATTGCTCTTTTTTGTAAAATTACAAGCGGGTTTGTGGTGGTCTCATAGGTATTTCCCCAGGCTACGACACCGTACGTAAGATACGGATAAATCAAGGAGTAGTATAAATTTACAAGAATTGTTGTTGGTAAATAGTGACGTATCTTNTTGTTTGTTTTCAATCATAGTTCGCGGTTCTTCCCCGGGACCTCGGTTTCAAGTAACAAACTTGGTCCCAGTCCCTATTCTCAAGGCYGCTAAAAATATATCTAAAGTGGGCTATTGAGAAGTTTTGAAGTGTATCAGRCAAGATTTTAAAATTGAAAAGCRAATTTAATTTAAAACTTCTTGTGGTTCTTGAAGTAGTAGAATTGATATTATATATATATACATCATCTGCTTGTTGGCACTTAGCCGTAGCTATGACTAGTAGTATATGTTGCCGTTGTGTAAGAAATGACTTCAAGTTCAACATACCTGTTTTGGTTCGTAACTCTGGAAAGCTTTTTTTATATTTACCATGAATGATAATTTTTTTGAATCGCTATCAAGGTTTTGAAAAAAACCTGTGACATGGTCACTTGTTTTTGGGGTCATCAACCCTTTTTCTTGCATTTTCTACAACAAAACAAGAAAAAAAAAAAGAAAATGAAAGAGATAACTTAAATGTACATGCCATTTAAAAAGAAACAACAAAAAAGACAAGAAACCAAAACCACATATAAGTCTTAAGCTTAAATTGCTGCTTTTAAGACATTTGCAGTGTTTGCAATACTTTCATCCAAAATGAAAACGATCCAAAGAATTCATCCAGATTAAAACACACCTACTCTTTGAAAGCAGAAAACTGATTCGAAAGTGGAATTGTCTGCAAAACCTGAGCAGCGGCTTGAGCGTTAGTTGCGTTTTGCCTGTTTTGCCTTCTTGCCCGGTCAGAAAACTGGCAATAGCCTTTGTGATTTGGTGATTGAACACCATGATTTGAAGAGTTTTTTTTTTGCCGGAAGTAAAAAAGTCAAAATGTTCAGAAAAGTGTATTGACGCGYGCGCGCATCGACCAGAAGATGACGACATCCAGAGTATGATTTTCGGGCGCTTTTCTTGATAAGACGAATAATAAAAAAGTACTTTTTTGCGTCAAGCTATGAATTATTTYAAGATATATCACAATTATAAACTTGTAATATAATGGTAACAATAAAATTGAACTAAATAGAATAGGACTTATCTTTTC